GTATGCATAAGTGTATACATATGTATGTGTGCGTGTATTTGTAATTGCATGTCTTTGTGATAGATTTTTTGACCAACTTGTAAGCAAAAAGTTATGTGCCGTTTTCGCTTGATGAGTGTGTTGACTTCACGTAGTTTTTCGTCTATGTCTCCGAAAAAAAGGATGAGCGAGCTCTTTTTCACATTCATTCGCGGTGTGACTTATGCACTACGATTCATGATTTTTGGGCCCTAACCGTATTAGCATTATACTGATGGCATTGCCGAATATTACAATGATCATGAGCGATATGAGTTGAGCTGGTGGTATCAATCATATTCAAGGAGTCGTTGGTTTGTCACGGTACATGGAACAGCAAGACTCAACGCTTACGTGGAAGAAGGCGAAAGGGGCCACGAAGAAGAAAAAGAAAACGAGTAGGAAGAGCAAGAAGAATCATGCCAACAGCTCAAGTGAAGACGAAGTGAATGTAGTTCATCGAGTTAGTATCGATTCATTTGTTAAATAATTTGTTCGTGTCGCAAGTTAGTATAGAATAGTTTTAAATATCATTTGACGTATTTCAAGTACCTTGGTTGATTTTCATTACTACAAATAAAGGTCAATCGTGCAGACGGTGAGATGCCGGAGGGTGCACGGACTACGGACGACGAAGACATTCATACGGTATGCGCTATCTTCATAAATTATGTTTCATTCCTAGAAACAAAACGAATATTCGGTTGGTTACCGTCTGAACCTAAACTCTCATTCTGGGATAGATGCGTGCGCATTAATTTGCTCAGTTTTGTACAAATTTAGATAGAGTAGGCTAGTGATGTGTTCGTTCTTAGAATGACGCTTTAGCAAGGACTTTCGGACGAGTTTCGTGCCCTCGATATAAATCTGGATGAACCGCTCCGGCCAGATGAGGTGGTTCGAGGTCCACAGGCATATAATCGTCAAAATGCTGGTCCACGACCTGTCCTTGTACCTCGTTCGCCTACAACAACATCGTATCAGGGCCGGACGCTTCCAAAGTTGGATGATCCAGTCAAGAAGAAAAAGGAGAGGAAAGGCGGTGATGATGGGTAGGTGAAATGAACAAAACATACAGGCTGCGAATTGACTTCGTTTTTTTTTTTTTTGAAGTGTTCGCAGAAGGAAGAAGAAGAGGGTCCCGATCGCTATGGAATCAGCTAAGAACAGTGAGTTAGACATAAATGCATGGCTGAGGGATGAAGGATCTCCTATAGTTGATACCCATGGTAGAGACAACAGTACTGATGGTTTTCTGAAGGTGGGTCTTTTGACATATTACTTGCAAACAATGACTTTGACGAAAATTGGATCCAAGAATTTAGGTGTTAGTATCTGATGTTTCTCAATTTATCTAGCCTGCTGTTTCGGTTATCGCCTATAAAAGTAAAATGTCGACGTGTTTAAGGTCGACAAGAAAGCAAAAAGAAAGAAGAAAACAACTACGTCGAGGGATGCCTATGAGGTTCGTGTATCACTTTCTGCTTTTGTTCTATTTAGAGGGCGAAAGTGTGTACAAGTAGGTCATGTGTATTTGTATGAGTGAACATATGTGAATGTGTGCATGTGTGTTTTGATATGTGAATGTAAGCGTGTATGTGTTTGTGGTTATATGTATGTTTATAGGATTAAATGTATGTCTGCCAGCCTGTGTCTATGTATGTCTGGGTAATTTTCGCCCATGTGTGTGTAGGTAAATTTCCGGATTTTGGAAAAACTGTTGCACTGTTGAAACTGTTGCAGTTGTGCAACACTTTGAGGATCTTACTAAAGGGTTTATATAGGACACATAAATTCCCAAACATGTATCCCGACGTCCATTGCACAGGCGCAACTTTCAACCGTGTTTTCTCTTTCGAATTGCGTGGCGGCATCGAAGGGGCGTCAGCGACCATAGTGGACGAAAACAGTGCATCAGCGGAAGTGTCAAGAACTTCGCAAAGGGATTGGCAGTTTTAGATGACAAATATGGTGGGGCGCTTCGTTGGTAGGGACGATATCTTCAGCCTCGACGAGGTCAAAAAAGATCCGAATGGGGTGATTGTACTGTAAGAAGGAGCGCTCAAACTGAACTGTATCCCTGATTTCAGTAGAGTTAACACAAGATTTTCAATCCCATATCTCACTTTTCAATCATTGTTTGATTTTCACTGGCCTGAAAAGTTTTTAGCGGTGGTGTGATCTCACGTTTATTGCCAGCGTAAAAGCCGCACCAACCAGCAAAGGATTTCAGCGAATTGAGACCTAGGTATATCTTTAGAGTTCAGAAAGTCGCTTACGGCAGTTCAAGCGGATATAGGAGCTTGAACTGCCTATCGAATTTTACAAAGAAGTCATGAGCTCTCAGAGCGATAGCTTCAGTTGAAACACTCAGACGCCCGACATGGGTTTTTCTAAATAGTTCAGAGCGAACTCTAAGGTTTTCATATTCACATGCTCATCAAGAGACTATAATTTCAAGCAGCTATAGAAATATTGAGTGTCGAGATTTTGTAGTACAACGTATTAGCCAGTTACTCATCTAGGCCAACTAAGTCTTCGACTCTTGCGTGGTCATTTGATTGGTTCGTTTGGAAAACAAAAAGCACTGACCTGCATATCGGCTAGACCGTGAGCTCATGCAAGCTTTTTGGGTTTTCAAATCTCATTGAAAAGAGACTATTTTTTTTATTAAAACCATCAGGCTCATCTTTAACCCCTTTAGATCTTTTTGATGCCAATAGGCCATAGATCAATGATATTTATTTAACCGCCTGACTTTTCTTCGTTGATCATATTTTTGAGAGTTATATTAAGGAGGCCTCTGGTGTCTGCACGCCGTCGAATCCGAATCTGGATAGAGGAATAGGTCTCAACGGTAGAGTGGTCAACTCAAGACTTTGCTCAAACTCGGATCTCGACGTAGTAAGCGATTATTTCGTATTCTGGTGTTGTGAGCGTTGTTTGAGTGACCTTGTAGAATTCTCGTGATACAGTATCTGTTGCGGAGTAAATCTTTGTATTTCATTTCCATCTCGTGAAAAATTTCCGTCATGATTTTTTGTCAAGATGAATTCAAATCTGTAAGACTAGTAAAGTGTATGTTTCGAGCCGTTCAATGGCAGTTGCTTACTTTTACTTAGTCTTGTTCAAATTGTTCATGTTCAGGATTACACTTCATCAGCGAATGCTGGTTCTGAAGGGGGAGTTATTGTAAAGTTAGAGATGGTGGTTGTTGGAAACCGGCATTTAAAAAACATCGAAGCAAATATTGTGGACACCCTGAATGCTCGTATGGTCAGAAGTGAGGTAAATGTTGTAGGATTGTAACTTTTTAGAATACGGCTATGTAGTTATGACTCTCCCTTGTTGCAGCCTGGATTTCTACTGCCAGCACAACTGTCACCTGGTGAAACGGGAGAGTTACGATTACATTTGGCAGTCACTTCAAGTACCGTTTCACAACTACTTCGGGGAACCATTTCGTACGTTGCAGAGGTAAAAAATATTGAATATGTCTACAACTACTTTGCTATTTTCAATTTTTTGCCGTATCTTCATGATTTCCACCTTCTGTCATATTTATTACGTTGAGTCATAAGTACTCGAACAAAGTGATAGTGATGACTTCTAGAGATCATAATCCGGGAAAGAGGAGACGAAAATGGTCGCGCGTGGCAATGTTAGATAAAATATGAAAAGCTTCTCAGAATACATACTAAAGAACACACCTAACTGTCTCCTTTCCTGCAACCATACCCCATGATTTTAAGGCGTCGCAACTCCACCGCCGCAACACCGTTCTATTTCGGGAGTCGGTATTTTCTATTTTATTTTTCCATTTCTTTTTTTATCTGGCTAAGAACCCGCGGAGATCGATAGACGTATGAAGGAAGTTTACAAGGAGGACGTCCCTGCTAGAAGCACAATTTACAAGTGGCACACGAAGTTAACCTTGGACGACTATTCCATCGAAAATGAAGACCGCCCGGGACACTCTATGGAGTTGGATTTGGACGTGCCACGGAGCCAGGTGGAAGCCGATTCGTATCAAACTACTCGTGAACTGGCAGTTACTCTTGGGGAGTCAGTTATTTGTGGGCTGAAGTCAATCGACAAGGTGCGAAAGCTCGGTCGATGGGTGCCTCATGCTTTGAAGCAGTGTGGCTTGGACGCCGCCACGGCAAATTCTCTCCTCACGCTCAAGCGCAGGAAACGGTCAGGTGTTTTCGTTAGTATGTATTTGAAAGAGCTTTTTGTACTCTATTTAATCCATTTTCGTCATCTCTTTGCTGAGTTATAATCCCTTGAAGTCATCACTATCACATTGTCAGAGGACTTATGACTCAACCTAATATAATCACCAGCGGTCAATTTCTTAAGGAAAGTGGTGGCGCCGTAGCAGTAAAACTCGATTTCAAACTACCTTTAAGGAGTACAGATTCGTTAGTGGCCCAGGCAATCACCAAGTAAGTTCTACAATTCAGAGGCATGATTTGCCCAAACTTATTGAACTAGTTTATAGAAATGAATTCTCTCAACTGCTTGCTGGAGGTGGCGTAGATTACTCGGCCTCTGTACAGTTTGCTTCAGAGTGCAATTTTCGCGACCTCCTTGCTCGGATAACTGCCATTGGACATTTGTTAGGCAAGTCGCTGACAGTTATTTCTTCAACTTGGAATACTTTTTGACCAGTTTTTGTATTAATCTGAAGAGAACGGAATGAGAAGCGGTAAGTGCACAAGTGGTTGCGCTTTCGATAGTCAGATAAAAAGTGGAGAATGGCGGAAGCAAAAAGTGTTGGCTACGAGAAACAGCTTTTCACTATCGCCGTTGACCGAACGATAAGCTATTTATTTCGGTCTTTCGACCCTATAATGCTCCATGTTGCGTACTTGGAGGTCAGAAGTTTGTCTTAGTAGGAAATTTGGGAAATTAATTTCATTGAGAAAACGCAGCATTTGAAGTAATGGCTTATGCTCCCAAGCGCCTCTTTGAGAGGTGTTGTACTCAGTGATAAGGGCTTGTTTGGGTGGAAGTACTCCCAGTGAATGAGCTACAGTAATCCATTTCAGTGGTTGAGGAAGCCGGCTCGGCTGCTTCCCTTTATGCAACGACCTTTGCTGGTGATCCTATCTGTGTATTGCTTAAAAAAATGGTAAGCTACCCATAATTGTTGAGTCAGGTTCTTTGTGTTTTCAGTATAGTTGCGTTGCTTTTTGTGCTAGGTATAATGTGTTGCCGCAAAGGTTTACGTAGTTTTTTTAGGAGGAAAATGTAAATATTGGGTGCAAAGCTGGTGATCAGAAACTGGCTGACGTCGTAGTAGAAGATTTGAAAGAAATTTGTACGAGGCAATAAAGCAGTAATTCGACTTTTTTTTATTTTGTTTTTCTTCTGTTTTTCTTTCTTTACTCCTGCTTTCTTTTTGTGTAAGCTTTTTTTCGAAAGCGGTCTATGATATGGTTTACAACGCAGGTCGTCATACATGATTTTTATTGCATCATAGTTCCTTTCTTTATTACGGTCGTCATAGAAATTAATCGACCAAAAACCCTTTTCATGTTATATTGAGATTTTTCAGCCACATATTGCGTAGGTATTCAAAAAACAGTAGTTCCTGTTATTTCTTCCAATTAACTGATTTGAAATTGTTGTGCTGTATCAATATTGTCAACTTTCAGCTCACTTGTGTTTCTTAGATTTCTTCTGTTGTCAATCAAACACATACGAGTTTTTTACTATTATATTTATGTATGTAATAATTGCTGATTACATTCCTGAACAGTGTGATGGTATTTGTTGTGAATTAAGAGACCACACCATCTTCGGCTTCTTTTATATAGTCTTCTTCTCCACTTCAACTATAATAGTTCCGAATATTCGGTTATTTTTTCCGGAACATAATAGGTTTTGAAGGCATTTCGAGCAAGATACGTTGGTTCAAGTACTTCTGTTTTCGTTTCACTTCGCCAGACTTGTATCCTGTGACATGGTGGTAGCTCCTGAATACTACATAGGGTAGAACGCAGAAATAGCTATGAATGGTATTCGTTGTTGGTAACTTGCCACGCATTGCGAAGGGCAGTGTCAATTCCTTGAGGCTGTGCCGTAATGGTATTGCATAGCAGAACCCGGCAGACGGGCAGTAGGTACGATTTTGTGTAATCGATCCGCCGCACGCGGCTGTCGGGAAACATTTGCCTCGATATAACAGTTCTAGCGTTCTACATACAGCTCAAACTTTATGCGATTAATACTTGTGGACTGATTGTAATGTTAGTTATTTTGTTCCTGAATTTCTTACTTGCATTCTGCTACATTCCTTCGCGCGCGGCGCCTCTCGACGCGACGCTACAATTTCGTTCCTACTGCACCACACCCGCAGAGCCCTTTTCAATCTCTTCTCTCCTTACATTCTCACAGCTTTCGATATTTCACAAGTACCAAATCGAAACGAGAAGCTTCTTAGTTCATTTGTATTTCATGCGATGACGAATAGGTTGTTTCCATGGTCAGCTGCACAATCGACTTCAATCTAGATTTACATCATCAATAAAAACACGGACTTATCGGTGAATGTGTGTTGATTTTCTGAGCAGCGAATTTTGACCGAATATTAGTGGTTGAAGTACTTCAGTGCTTTTCATAAATATAAAATCATTGTAAGACTTTGAATTCCCAGAATAGCAATCGAGCGCAGATGGATGTACTATCAAGCTCACACACTAATGATCCAAGCTGCGGGCTTAGTTGAATTAACTTTAGCAAAGCGTTCATGAATGACTTTTGGTTTTTGCACGGTTTCGTAACTATAGAGCCACCTAGAGAATTCGAATCAGCATACTATCAATATCGATGACAAACAAGCAACTGGTACTCTTGTGTCCTCTCCATTTAGGACAACTTCAAAAAGCCTCCGTGGCGTACTCGATGCAAGGCTTTGAAGTACTTCACAGCCAATTTCATTTCGAACCTCAATGATTATCTTCTTCAGCTGTTCTTTTGTTTGAAACTGTGCAAGCCTCCTTGTGAGCCTTCCTGATAATCCTTGGGGTTTATTTTGCATTTTTCAGGTCCTGGAACAAAGCATCATTGCAGAAACACCCATACCGTGATGCTTCCTACGAAATTGCGACAGATAAAGTTGATCGGCCGTTTTTTCAATAAGCACCAGTGGTAATTGTAACCGTTGGGTCATCCAGAATGAAATTCTTTTCAGGTCCTCGGGAAATACGACCATAGCCAGAATATTTGGCTGTATGGCTCATATGCAATGCAAACTTATCTTCGCCCAATCTCTTGGCAAAATCTTTACAAATTTACTTCATGTGTCCATATGGTTATCGAAGAGCCGCGGCCCGACTCATTGTAGGCTTTGCGATGTCGCTGCTTATTTTCGTGGCCCTCCATACAGTAGTTTTTGACGTCGAGAAATCCATTTCCGATCAAAGGTGGCACAACGGACAGGTGCTATTCGAAATAGTGGTCAGGATTCACTTCTCGTTGTTGTCGGTAACTTGCGCAGGCGTCCTGTCTTCGAATACATTGGAATGGGGCAGAGGGACTTTGTGATTGTCATATCATGAACATATCATCACAAGTCTACGAGTCTTCAAGTGATATATTTTGTTGTGATAGTTGCTTCTAATTGATTCAGATGTATTGTAGTCACAGTGTCGCCGCGACTCATCGTCGTATGCAACTTTGTTGAAGATGCTCCAGCTCACGGGCTCTTATGCTGTTAGATTTCAGGAGATAAGTTCACTATACAGTGTAAAGATAAGTGAGAAGAAGAAGCCTGGCAGGTCTTGCTTCAGCCGCAATCGCTTACAAGTTCGCCTCGAGAGAAAAATATTACGAGTGCTCCTCCTCACAAGTTAAGGTGGCAGAATGTAAGTTGGTAGTTATTGATCACGAGTCATGAGGCACTGCTACAGTGCTATCTTACGAGCAGAGGAAAAGTCCCGCCTGGCAGTGTGAGCAGGGAACGCGCCAGCCCTTCAAGGACCAAGAAAAGCCGCACTCCGTTATGAAGTGTTCGAAATCTCAAGATGACCTTGTACTTATGAAATGATATAAAAATCAAAAGTAGTATGTAACAATGTTGAGAGGGGGGGGGGGGGGGGGGGCAAGTTGATCCAGCCGAAGCTTGTATTTGGGGATTATTCAATGATTTTTCGATAGCAGTGTTAAAAATGGGTGTGGTGCAGTTGAATCAAAACTGTCGCTCTGCGGCGAGAAAGATTCCGCGTGCGAAGGAATGTAGCAGAATGCAGCAGCAAGTAAGAAATACAGGAACAAAGGAAGTAACAGTAGAATCATACCAAAAATAATAATGCATATCGATTGAGATGTATAAGGAACGCTGGAACTGTGACAACGAAGCAAATGGTCTGCGGCGATTGGATTACGCAAACCAACCCAACTGCCCGTCTCCCGCTGGAAATTCATGGCCTCAGTTGCTTATTTTATGTATGCAAAATTTGAGGGAGCCCTCCTACTTGTGCGATGCACTGTAGGTATAGCGAACCGCCATGAGTATTTAATAGCAATCTTGTATTTTTGATAGCAATTTGAAGATCATATGCCCCGACTATGATGTTACGTCTACCTAAACTATTACTGTATCGTTTAAGAAAAGGTAATATTACGGCCAGTAAGAAAGTCAGAAATATCTATTGAGCCCATGTTGTTTTGCTATTTGGGCTCGGCACTCTAACTCTGAGCAAAAAGTATCAAACAGAGACGATTTTTTTGATTTGAGCATCATCTCTCGAATATCTGGCCTTAGGGTGTGATCTTGGACAATCTTCTCATCACGTATGGGTCTCTTTCTCCCGGTTTGTTGACCCATTCCTAACATTTTCTTGTTTTTCTTTATGTATGGGCTTTTCTGAAACAAGGTTATTGAAGCCTTCTCTCATTGCTCCGCCCATTCCGGTGTATGTTTCGCTCCTGTGGGCGGGATTCCCGTGAACTCATATGTGCTCTATCGATGTTGCTCGAGGTGGCACTCATTCCACTTCAGGTGATTCTTAAAATTTTATAGCATTTCGATATAGATATCAGACAGACGGATAGACAGGCAAAGAGACATTTAAACAAACAAACAAGCACACAGATAGATAGATAGACAGACAGACAGACATATACAGAAAAATTCTCTACATGTAGTAACTGGTGTGTCCGTACCTAGTACCCTTGTCAACGAACAGATAGACAGATATGCCAAGTTTGATCAATTAGTAAGGATAAATAGTGATTTTCCATTCGATTGACCATGTATTCACCACTGATCCATCCATATCGCAAGGGATTCTGATATGTTATATGTCATGTTGTAATGATTTCGGGCTGATATCGATCAAGTGGCAAGGACAAATATCAATTTTTCCTAGCCATTTCGATAGCCTTTTTCTTTATTTCGGCATGATGTCCATGCTGCGTCCTTCCGTTGTTACAATGAGACGCTCTCTTGATAGTTTACTGCCTCGAACAACGGCGCCGGATGATCTTGAATTCAACATCATTCAAGACATGTCACCGTACATGTATTTGATCATAAATGTGCTGTTCGACACCAGCCTTTTCGACGTTGTTGAGCGGAGTGACTCTTTTTTCAAGGCTAGTAATAGATCGAAAGAGGAAAACATGGCTTCAGAGTTAAAATTGCAAATTCTTGCCTTCAGAAGTAGCAGCTCAGATCGTACATAGCTGACTCTGTCACTCAAGAATTTCCATCTCAAGGTCATAGTGAGACTCCTGATAAATATTTTTCTAATGATTATGGATTGAAACGCTCTATCGTGATCTTCGGTTTTGCTCTTAGTGGTTTTTCCGAATGTTGTCATGACATTTTTCCCCATGATATCTCATGTACAAACTCTTTGTTCGCTTTTCTAAATATTGATTGTTTCCCATTCTTTGTTCATGGGATGTGTAGGAAAGAGTTTGAGAGGCTCGGAATTTCGATGTGGTATTGCCAGTTGGTTTCAGAAACAGGCGACCAAAGGAGCCCGTCACTTGCGTTTCCTCCCTTAGGAAGGCATTTACATATTCCCGTCGTTTACATTAGAAGAGTGGAGGTGTAGGCTCGAAGAATGGATCAGTTGTCAAGTATGTTCTGCTAAAAGTCGCAATGCTACTTTTCTAGCAGTATTCGGAAATTTTGAGTAATGTTGGGAAACTGTAGAGCCAGCCTCTTGTGTGGTTACTATCATAAGGCCTCATGTTAGGAATAGTGATTCTTTCGATGCCCTTTCTGAACAGTTTTGACCTAGCCCTTTTTAATTGAGTCTTGGCTGAGCTGGGAGTGAGGCTGCTCTTTTTCCAGACTCCTCTAATCCCCACTTCAATAT